AGGGCATATTTTCTCGAAATACTTTTCTCTTTGAAAGCCCAGTGTGTTAGTTGGGTCCCTAGATGCTCTGTGTTTTAGAAATGATGTACTTAACGATCTGACGCCAGCAGAAATAAGATCTGTCCCTCAGGCAATCTGCTGGTCTTTATCTGCTTGCTCCACTACAGTTTTAAACCTGGCTGTGAAGAAGGATAACCCTTTCACTGGCATGAAGGAGACTGCATGGGAATCTGTGATAGAAATCCTAATGGCTTCACACTATAACAATCCAAAGCATTTAAGAAAAGGAAGCTATAACTTAGTATAGTATAAGGTACAGCACTTATACCTGTACTGAGGGAAAACAGAGTGATCCAGATTTTCAACAGTTCCACTTAAGTAACTACCTTGAAATGTCTGTTCAATTAGAAATTGATGTAGAAATGCATGGAATTTTGAGTTACATTTAGAGGTTCATCAGTCTACAGAAAGCAAAAGTATTATTTTCAGTATAACTTCTGGATTTTCTGGAGCCTTTTTTTTTCAACTCGCCTTCAGAACATGGAAACAGATCATGTTTGATGTAAGATAATAATTAATAATAACTGCTTGCATTTGCATAGAGTTTAGAGCATCTCTAAATCGCTTCACATATACAGTTGGAGGGGACCCAGGTCATTCACCACTGAAGTGTTGCATCAACCTGGGTGACACATGACAGCTGTTACACGCCCTCCTACACAGTAGATCAGCTGGAAGTTGTTATAAAAACTGAATTGAGGGTGAATTATAGGTCAAAGCCCACAGTAGAATTTAGCTGGGGGTAGCACTCTGATGAAAAGTGCCACAGGATCTTTATAGCATATTCTGACACAGAAATCCCATTAGCAGAAAAAGCCCATGAACTCTGAACCTGGTCTTCAAAGAGGAGGAAGTGAAGATTTCCAGCGAGCCATGACATGAGATCACAGAATCTACGTGGGTACTGGCCAGCATTTATTTTTCCAGAGCCTGATGTGGATAGTGGCCTAAGTGATTTTTTTTACACAAAAACAAAAATTAATTCTGTAAAAGGGTTAGCTATTTAAGTAGTTAGGACCCCGGTTGACATATTATTGCCATCTTCTACACTGCCATCTTGGTGTGAAGAACCAATAAGAACGTACTGTATATAGTCTAGAAGTTAAATGACAAGTTAAATGTCAATTATACTACACACGTCTAAGATCTAATTAAGAATATTGTGTTATTTTGGACCCCATGTTGCAAAAAAGACACTACCATTAATTAGTCTGGAGAAAAGCAATCACTGCGTGGCTTAAAGAACAGAAGCTTTATAGGAACAAGTAAAGGTTTACTCCATGCTGAAAAGAGAAGAAAAGAAACACAACATTTTGACTGTGGACTTGTTCGGGTGTCCTTGAGCTACAGAAGCTTCATAGTCTTGAACAGAGAACACTGTGATACAGTAAACTACTGACTCAATTATTCAAAAGCATTGACAAAGTCACCCCAGTGGACTTATTCCGAATCAAAAATGAAACATAATCCAGAGTACAAAAGTTGAAACTACAGAGAAGTATAGTTAAAACTGAGAACAGAAAGCGCTTTTTACACAGAGAGAGAATGTCATGTTGTGCAAGCTAATGTACTGTCTTTTTTCAAGGAATGAACACGTTTTCAGAAGTGGACAAATGATCCATGGATTACTTGAGTGCTAAAAATGCAGCTACAGTAGAAGAGTCTAATGATGTATTGCTTAGAATCTCATGTTGCCGAGACATTTTTTAACACTGTACTGTAATATTTTTCAAGGTATTTCCACAATCAATATAACAGTTTGAAAATTCAAAAATATTTTTTTCTGTAATATGGACATACTGTCTGAAAACCTTTTCCTGTAAATTCAAATACTGGTATCTGAGTATACACAATATGTTGGATATTCTAATTCATTCACTTCGTTTCCAAAATTAATGTGAAGGCACATATGGTCCAAGCCTTTACAATTAATGATTTTAGGGTGACATAAAACCTGCTGAATTGTGGCTCTCTCGACCACCCAGCTCTTGTACACGTCTGTTACATGAGCACTATTTTTCAGAATTACGACAGGAGTGACACCTTTCTGCCACCAGGTGTCACTCATGCTACGTTAATGTGTTGTGGCTACTTCTAGTTTTTGTTCAGTCTGGTAATCGTTTCGCTATGAATGTATAAACAAACCTAGATATCTTTAATGATCCCTTTCTACCAGTTACTTCCCCAATGGATTTATGACTAAATATAAATGTGAAAACAATTTTTAAATCTGAAAAGTAAATTGCTTTAAAACTTCACAAAACAGTACCCCTGACTTCAATTGGTGCTATGACAAAACTTTGATACAATTATCAGAATGTGCATATAGTACATGTACATGAAGTCTCCAATAAAAAAAAATAATTAATTTGGAGAAGAAGCCATGCTTCCATGCAGGCAGAAACAAGAAAACTATATAGAAATTTGTTACATCTATTAGATGTAACAAATTAGATTTCATACTGAAAGAAATGCAGATTCATACTCCACAGTATATATAAAGTAAAAAGGTGGTCTATCAATCAGATTTTGTATTTACTAGCTAATTGATCCAGGAATCTCGTCCAAATGTTTCTTGAGGGATGCCAGAGTGTTGGCTTATACAATGTTGCTTGTTCCGTACTCCCTCAACCCCTTGAGTAAAGAAGTGCCTCTGGTTTTCATCTATTTAAAAACTACTTGAACATATTCCAGAGCAGGAACATCTTTTCTATGAAGTGATTGTCAAAATTGTACACACTTTTCTAAATGTGGTACAATATAACAAATCAAACAATTGTATCATAACATCCCCTGATTTAAATTCTACACTTTAGGCTCGGGTGTGAGTGTGTCTGCCCTGTGATCCATGCATATGCCTATTGCTTTCCATAGTCTCCCCATGATCAGAATTGGATAAAGTGGTTAGAAAATGGATGAATGAATGGAAATATTTTGAGCGAATTCCACAGTTGTTGAAACTGCAGTTAGCGAGGGGACCCTGTATTTATTAATGCTTCATGAATATAAAGGTTTCCAGTGTTAGCCTAAAAAAGCCCATTTACTTCCTACATCTTGTTAAATTCAAAGCTGAGCATGAGGATGTTTACTTTACCCATTTCTTCCAAACATACTGTCAGTGCTGGGGAAAGTAATCAATTAGTTACAAGATACTGATGTTAGGAGTTTCTTTTAAAATACTATTTTAAGGGTAGTTGATTTTTTGAGGTAATGCATTTACATTCTTTAATAACTATTTGTTCACTGAACAGATCACTGTAAGTTAAATTTTTAAAAAATAATGTAATACTTCTTTTCCTTTTCTTTGGTTTCTTAGGCTCTTCTGTGGTCAAGCACATTCTTAGATCAGTCTATGATTGAAGATGCATGGGGCAGGATGGACTACCATCATAGCTGTATTATAAACCCACCACGTACACTCCTACACCTGCACAGGGAGAGATTCTGCACTTCTGTGATAACCTCTAGAAGGCAAAGATGCATTGCAGTGATTGATGCTGATGATGGCTGTACAATGTACTGACTTTATGACTTGCACTTACACCACCAGTGTAATGCTTAGTCCTCACTGGAGCATTGCTGTGGAACTATGCCTCTGATCTTATAAATGTTGCATGTTTGCCAAAGCCAGAGTGACTGAAAGCCTGTCCTGTACTCATTCTTTTATACCCGCTCACGCACTATTGTTTTAAAGTTAACATGTGACAAAACACCATGACACAAATATCCCTTCAGTGCTTAGCCATTTTCAACCCACCGTTACACTCCAGTTCACTTCATGTGGCATTTAGAGTTGTTTTGAAATGAGGCAGCCTCTGTTTTTAAACAATATCCGAGACCCAATTGGTGGATAATTCAACATCTTCTTTCAATACATATTGGTGCTGTTTATTTTCCATAGACATAACTTTTTTTATCTTTAACTCAACACCTATAGCTGGCATGAGGCTAAAAAATTCCTTTTTTAGCATGAAATTAACCTCTACTTGTTCTTTGCAGCTCCAATTTCTTACTCTAACCATGGTAACCTGACACCTTTGATAAGTCCACACTTCACAGAGTACCTTTTGGGTGCAGAGATAACGGTTCCCTTTCCCAATCCACAATCACAATGATGGAAATGAAGTGAATACTAAACACTAAATAGATGAACCTTCCAGAAAAAAGTCAGTCTTTATATGAGGGATGGATGGGGCTTCGAGGAGGTTAGATGACCTGTCATTCATTTTGTCCTGTTGTTCAAATACATTTAAAAAACCGGTGTACACAAACTCACTGAACTTAGATGAGGCTACACGAAGGGTCCGATGTGGAGAATGATGTATTAATAATGTAATAAAACTATGACAAAGCCAAACAATTTATTGGTCAGTGCTTCATATTGTGTAGCATACAGTAAGTGAAAAAAAGATAAAGGGCAAAACATGTCAAAGGACAGGCAAGTATTCAAGGAGAAAAAACAGTTCTCTATTCGCTTACTGTACGTGTGTCCTGATGTTTGGAGTGGTGTCACGTCAAATTACTGACCCTTTGATCCACAATGTAAGACAACATAACTGATATGGATTCAAAGCCCCACAGTGCTGTCTGCATGTCACAGGCACTGACCTCAGAACAATAAAATCGTTTTGATTTTAATAACAACAGAAAGATTAAAATGTTTTTTTTAGAAAAAAAAACGTATTTTGTATTTTATAAACAATCCTTTGGAGATAAATGGATAATTTACAGATATAAAATCCATCTTTATGGTGCCCCTAGCGGTGCAAATGATTTAAAATAGTGAATGTTAAATTCATGTTAACAAACCTTTTTAAAAAGTGGGAGAGTATGCGACACTCAGTGGATGTACACTCAGATTTCTGCAAAACAACCTGCGGTTTGTATGTTTTTCACTGAAAGGTCTAGAAGCATTCTGAACACAACACAACAGCGAGCAATTATGCTTTGCAGACACTTTATTACACAAATTACATTGTTACTGAAAATAGTGTTCTGATGGTAAAACCTCAGTATTTCACAATAAATATCAGACACATCTCAGCACATATCAGATAGGAAAATTTTGTAAATACAGTTTTAGATACAGAATAGTTATTTCTCTCTTTTACTTTCAATGAATGAGATACATGAAAATCGAAATACAAGAGACAAATTAGCAGCTCTCTTATTACTCTGGCACATTTTAGTCTTTTAGGTACTGCAGAAGGCTGAATACTTAATTGAAAAGGCACAAATGTACAGACAGGAGATGTCTACGAAGGTACTGTACCAAGAATGAAAACAAAAAAGGCTGTTTGGCTAATAAATGGTTGGAAGAAGAAATTGTCAGTTCAATAGTAACAAAAATAAATGACTCCCCCCTTCCCTCTCTTTTTCTCCTGTTAAAAGTTATCCATATATATTGAATTTGCTCTGCCAGCATTTTAACTCTGGTCCCATTTATATAAATTAACAAAATGGCAGTTGTTCCTCATACCTGGAAATTTTGCACAAATAAATAAATTATTGGCAGCCGATACAGACAATTACGGTTACTATTAAAATACATCCTGCACACATGAGCAACAGATCGGTCAGCACTCTTCATGATCATTATTTCGTAGATTCTAGGAAGATGAAGACACAGGAGGAGGAGGAGCAGAGTACTCCTCTGTTTCCGAATCTGTGGCCTCTTCATCATCCTTCTCCTGGTCACTGCCTTCTGTACTCAGCCGGTCAAAGCCTTTCCTACTGTAGCCTTTGTGACTTGCGAAGAAGTTTCCCAGATTGAGACCGCCGCCGGTCTTCCCTGTATTAGAAATCAGGAGAGAATGGGTGAGTTTGCTGTGCTTTGTTTGCATAACCTGCAATTATTTTTTAACATGAATTTCCATATAAACAATTCTTAAACGAAAAATCAGGTCTTAAGATTTAAGAACAGAACAAAATGGAAGCACACAAAAAACCTTTTCTTTTAACAGTGTGTCATTTGTTATCTTAGCCACCTTTTGTCTGTGAAAACTCAGTTATCTTTTCTTACAAATAAATTATCACTTGTATGTATACCACCAACTGCTTTTTATCATGTCTCTCCCTGTATGAAACTGAACAAGGACAAGTCCTGATACTAAAGAGTGTGACAGAAGCTGAAGTGATATAAATTATATTTATTAGTCTTATCTATAGTGCTCTTAAGTGCTCGCTGAAGATTTACGCTGTGTTATTTGACATATTCCATACTCTGCAATCAGTAGCTTCTGGGTTGAATAGCTGTTCTGCATTAATACTCCACTTTACTTTTGTCAGACAAAGATACCAAACTAAGCAAAAATATTCTCTATGCCATGTCTATAAGATGAGTATAGTTATGGCAAAACTTGTTGAGTAAGTGGAAATGTTTTATATTATTATGAAGACAGGACAGATTCCTGTTACGTGTTCCTTGTTTTTGCATGTTACACTGATAAGATTGGAAAATCAGTCTGAAAATATTCCAAGGGATAAAGCCTGACCAGAAGCTAAAAATACCTCCTTGAATTGCTGTGGAGAAGTAGATTGTTGGATGGAAACTTGGCAGCAATGTCAAAGAAGATAGACAGAACATACTTATTATTACTGACAGCAAATGATAGAAGGAGGTTTCCTTCCATAATGAATTGTCCCGACCATAGATTTGTAATGCTAATAGAATGTTGTTTCTACTCCTTAAGGCTATTTATTTTTGTATTTTAGTCCTACAATATCTGAGCATTTTAACCATCTGTCTCTTTTTGAACAGAGGTTAAAGCAGTTTCCACTGCACTGAAAGCTTAACACACTGATGAAGTAACTGAAGGTGATATTATTTCATGGTATATTAATGTTAATTATGTTTCATTACATACATTCCACAGTGCTGGTTAATGTTTGCAAGGTATTCTGTTTATACTAAATGCCTCTGCGGTGGTGCTAGGTCAGTAATTTTAAAAACTGCAGCTTTATTTTCTATGATTATCTATGATGGAAATTCATGTGACTTACCTCTAAGTTTTCCCAAGATTCCGACAGAAGAACTGGACTCCAGTTTAGTTTCAGTGTCTTCTAAGAAGTATGAAAAATTAAACATTAAATCTGATGTATGGTTTTTACGTTTCTAAGTCTACATATGAAGCACATTGGCAATTACAGGATTAAGATTACGTTGCTTTATAGCACCTAATCCTTTAAAATCTCCTACTAAAAACATTATTTTTTACAGTTCATCAAATACTTGAATGAAAAAGAAAGCTCTTTTCGCTTTTAGTAAACAGCTTATAGTTTTGATTGTAAATGCCTTGAAATGCCTCAAAGGATGGAAGAAAAAGAAATCATTTTTCACATTAATTCATTAATAGTTAAATGCATTGTACCTCCATAAATTCGTGTTTTTCTCCATCTTATGAAAAGTGCAATGGCAATGACGACCACAAGAGGAATGAGCAGCAGGGTGGTAATGACAGCTACAGACGCTCCCTGAGTGCTCTGTTTCACTATCGTCTTCTTCTCCTCTGGCTGCTGCGTCTGCTCCTGGGGTATTCCTTTGGCAAGGCCTTGCGCCTGTGCTTTGTGACTGGGCTTTAATTGTGCATGAACAAAAGTTTCCATTTCTAAAAGAAACAAATAAAAAAAAATGATCAGAAAAAATAACTTTCTTAGAGGAATCCCTTTCCAGTTAGTAGAACATAGGATGAAGATTATCTTTCACAATATGGAGCAAAGGCAACATTTGCTGTTTACAGTAAGTACAGTAGTTAATTACACATGTGTCTTAACAGGTATTTACACACTTAAATGTGATTCAACAGTTTATCTAACTTCTTACCCTGATGATGGCAGCAATTACCTGAATTGCTAATTTACTAAATGATTACAAGAAAGACAGCACTATTATGTGCTTCTTATTCTCTATTGAGCACAAAACTACCTCAAAACTGTCTATTAATTAAAAAAAAAACATTTTCATAGACAAGGCAAGGGTGTTTACCCAGTAATACAATTAAATCACTTTTTATCCCAGTCCTAACATAAGTCTGGGGTTATTGATTGCTTGACGAAAACTGTACTGATTTGTACTGTACTGTATTGTATTACTGAAGATAATGACAATGTCTTTCAGATATGTTCTTACCTTCTATTTCATGAACTTCAATTCCACCTTTTTTAACTGAGCGATGTTCAGCTTCTAAAATCCAAACAGAAATGCAAAAACTATGAAAGTACTTCTGGTGCCGGTCTAGAATAAACTTTTTAGACAATATTATTTTCATGTGTTATTGTATACAATTGCGCATAGCAATTGTACTGCAATTTCATGTCAGAATCCGGTGAAACTGTAATATTTTGCATTATAAAATAATTATATCTGAAAGGGTTAAAAGAAACAGATTTTTCCTATGTTATGTTATGTAAACAACATGCTAAGATTATTTGTTTTAGACTTCTGGGTAATATAACTATTATCTCAGCTAAATTATACTATTAAGAAGTGCGCTCTAAGCCCTATCACTCCAAGGACTGCTTAATGCTTTGGGATGGAACTGAAGAATCTATAAAAACAATCAAATCACATATCTAGATAATAATAAATGATCACATCTGTAAAGTGCTTATTCCAAATTATCCCAGAGTGCCCCACATGTAGGAGGTTCCACTATGGTAATTCAACATTCATCTGGACAACACTATGTAACCATTATATGCAAAGAGGTGGAAATGTGAGAAATTACTTTAGCCACTTGAATTAACTGGGAAATTCAGGGTGTCTCCAAACCCACAGTGGATTTTAGCCAGAAGACCAGGGTTAACACTTCTACTCTTTCTAAAATTGCTATGCAATGCTCAGTTATGAAGTACAACTTTGGTATTTCCTAATTTGATTTCTTGAGGTCACTGTGGATGGGAAATTCGCAAATACAGTAGTTAATACCCTATGAGAAAAATAGTGTATGTTTCCACAATTCGCACAACCAACCATTTCCATAGTAATATTTTTTGTCATAACCATTTCAGAAATACTGTTAGTTATTATTGGTATTAAGTATTTTTAACTAAAATGAGTACTAGAAACTCACAAAAGCAGTTTTTCCTCTTAAGTTCAAGTACTTAGATCACTGTTATATTATAGCTTACTCTTTATCAGAATTTGTTTTTTAATTCTTAGTAGAGCACATTTTCTATACTTTTTACATCTTGTTTATATTACTATTATAAAGTTCTACTGTACTGTAATAAAGTTTATTTCAGCACAGTAATAACTGATGAGAAAGTAAATTACAGTAAGTGTACTCACTCCCTTCACACCTACTCATTACTGCTCTTGCAATTTGTCTAATTCTCTTTCTTATATTTTTTCTAATTATTTTTAACAAGATGTTCAAGAACTGAGACTGTGATAATGTTTACAAAACAATGGCCCATGGGGGCCACAGAGTTTTTTTATTTCATGGGACAACGCTGAGTCACATACTGTACAAGCATTTCTCTCATCCCAAGTCTGCACATCCAAAGCTTTCCTGGAGATAACTGAATAACTGAAGCATAACAATGCTCTGCTGCATTATTAGTGGTGGGCTCTAGGCCCCAGTTAACAAAGAGATGTTAACTCTTTGTTAAGCCAAACTGTGAATACTGAACTTGTGAATACTGAGATTTTATTGTACTCAGCTTAAAGTCTTATCTGAAGGGTGTCACATTCCGTAACAGTGTTTGCTCTTACCATATTAGAGCATAGGTTTATAAACTAGTCCAGTGATACCACTTAAAGACTTTAGAGGTCTTCAATCCCCTTGCTGAAGAGGTTTAGCCTTGCTTAGCTTGTGAGATCTGAAGAAATCAGGCTATAAGGTGTCATACTTGATTTGGCAGCACTACTAGGACTCTTGCTGATCATTGAGGTTTACATATTTATTGAGAAATATCAATTATTGATACTAATAATTATAGAATAATTTGTATTTTGCATGTAAGTAGACTCCCTCCAGAGCTTCCCCTCTATTTTTGGTTTCATACTATGAAAATACCCATTCTTAGTAAACACTAACAGTAACATTGTTTTTTTTTATTGAAGTAAATTTTGGTTAATTTCTTCTGCTGTTAAGTAAAAATTAAGTAATATCCTTGGCTAATCAATAGATACAAGCTTCTTATATGTTACTCCTCATTTATTGAATTTCATCATAAATATGACACTCAAATCATTACATTTAGACAAGATTTTACTGATTGAAATGTTCTCCAAAATAAAAATAAAAATGCTCATTAGTGAGACTTTTTGGAAAATGGAAACATCCCCACTTTTAGAAAATGTCAAGAAAGCTATATTACAGGAATGTCAGGCAATCTCTTCTGTAACAAAGAGGAATGTCACCTTAAATCAGAATGGTTACAAATGATGTGATATGTGGGCCTATGGCATTATCCATCTGACATTTCAGTTTTTAACACTGTTTCTATTTCTGTTCCACTCATCAGTCACGGAATGTAGGATGCTGTCAAATGTCACTTGATTAACTGTGAAACATCTTTTTCTCCCATTACAGTAACAAATACTGTAGATTGCTTCCTTAATAACAGCTGCAAACAAGAAGTACAATACATGTATACAATGCATATATCTTTATTGATACTATTATTATCTAGAATGTTCTGTGTACATAATTTGAGATAGCATAACACTAAGGAAATCACCATGAATATTTGAATCTGTCACCATCAACATAAAAGAGTAATTTCCTTAAAATAATAACTATGTACTAAAACATAGTAAATCATTAGAATCTAAGAAAAACAAACGATTTTACTGTGAGTGCACTGCACAAAATAATTTGAACATAGAAAGATCACAATTGGACCATTATACACTAATATTAATTTTACACTGTAAAAGAAGTATTGTGAAGACTATTTGGTCAAGAAGAATTTGAAAAAAAATATCAAGTAGAAAAACAATACCTTTATACTTTCTAAATTTTTGTTTTGAAATGACAGCAACATGTATTATACAGTATGCTTACAGATCACTGTTATTTCACTTTGCTTGGTTAGGTTTAAAAATGAACTACAAACAACACATTTTAATTTTCTTACATATTGTAAGGTACAAGTAGAAACAAGCCAGTGTGCATCAACCATTTACTGTTTCGTTACTGAAGACAGTAAAGAAACAAAACACTAATTTCTTCAGTTTGGTTTTCTAGTTACAATTCATTCTAGAAGTAGCATTACAAAATAAATACAAAAATAAATAACCAATATGACATGCTTACACAGAAATTAGTTTTGAAATGAACCCTGAATTTTTATTTGCATTAATACTTTCACAGTGTTATAGATTGCCATTGATGGCCTATATAAATGTAATGCTATATAATTTAGAAACACATTTTTCCAGAGTGAATGAGGACAGATTAAGAGTGGGGGGATTGAAACAATATTTTCAATTAACTTTTGACACATTTTTAAAAATAAAGTCCAAATAACTGTACATTTCATTTATAAAACAGAACTACTCTGTACAAATTCTGATTTGTTAACAATCCAACATCAGAACTTCTGAATTTCTTTTTTGATCATTATCTTAACCAAACAATTCACATGATGTTTTTGCAGCAGGATACAGAATAATATATTTTGAGTGGAAAATATGAATATAGATAAATATTTTGTTATAAATGTTATAAAGATTGCTCTGATATTTTGGACTATTTCTCAAAAGCAGTTATTTTCAAACCAGACTTAACACTTACTCTCTGAAGAGACAAATTTAATCACAGTGTCAGCAGTTGCATCTCCAACAAAAACTGTTCCATCTTTGGCAACAACGATGTCATGTGGCATTTTAAACTCCTGGTCAGAAAAAAAGAAACATGATGTAAATTATATCTTATTAAGACCATTACATTTTTTTCTTCATAGTATTAATCTGATAAAAAGTAACACTTGAAAACGTACTCATTTTTCATTCCTTCATCAACTAAAAAAAACTCAATACATATTAACCTCAACACATGTGACATTTGCAAATCCTCCAAAGTACAAAGATAGTTAATTCACCAGATGCCTTTTCAACACATAGGGATTCATCACAATTTACTGTACTACAGTGTAAGCTTGTTTTTGGATCATGAAAACAGCTTTGAGGTGGGTGTCTTATATTTAAATGTCCTTGGAAAAATATTATATAGCTAGAGTCATCTTGAGTTTCTCAATATCAACAGTTAATCAGATTTCAAATGTCTCTTTATATCATCACCTGCATAAGAAAAATATTCGGGGCTGAAAACAACAGATTGGATGATCTAGTTACTTTTCATTGAGGTACAGTACTTAATAGCTCAGGTGCAATGGAAATCAGAGCTCTGCATGGCTTTTGAGGACACTTAGTGAATCAGTAACATAGAGTTTAGAAATCCAGGGTGATTTTTTATTTTTGGGAAAAAAAATCAACAAAAATAATAATACATTTTTAATAGTGCAAACGTACAGGGAGCATTCGAAGTGGTTTGCAACTATGGTATACAATAAAAAGACAAGAATGACACGTTCAAAGTGCACTTAGCCCGTTTGTCCTTCAGACCAGAAAATCCCTGTTAATAGGACTCTTCCGACTGCCCCATTAACCGTGCAACAACAGACTTCAAAGAGTCATCACAGCAGTCTTTTGAGGATACGTCTGGGCTCAAGGGTGGTTGATTCAACTTTTCAGACCCACATTAGTGAATGAACACTGAACATTTTCATGCTGTAGCAGAATATGATGTGTCAACATCTCCTGCCATTTATTTGTAGATAACTTTATGCTGCCAGTCAGAATTTCAGCGTCAAACTGATGGTAGCTGTAGATTTGGATAAGATGCTAGCTATTCCTTTGTCAGCTCAACTAGGTCATGGTATGAAATTACATCAGGTGGACATGCTGGGCGCTTCCACTGTATTGATTCAACCTTGAACATTGAAGCCTTTCAGTGTACTTGAGATGTACCTATGGTTTGACTCATCTTTGGTAACAATCAACATTTTTGACAACTCTTCTGTATTAGCATTGAAGAGCTCTACGAACTCTTCACTGAATCCAGTTACATTATCTTGTGAAAGTGATCCATCTGGTAGACACCTGCTATGCTGTTCATGGAAAAATGTTTCCAATGCTCTCAGCCAGGGCTGGCCTTAGGCATAGGCGAACTCGGCGACTGCCTAGGGCCCCGAGGCCACCAGGGGGCCCCCCCTCTATGCGCAACACAACATTCAAATGTTAGCTCTTTCTGTTGCTGCTGTGGATTGTCCTAATGGAAGCCCAGTCAAAAAAATGACAAATCATAACTGAGTACACAATTTTTCTGAAGTGCAGAAAAGGAGAGCGGGATAGGTGATCTCAAAACAGAATTATGACTAATAAAGTTATTGGAATAATGCACAATATGTAATAATGTAATAATTGGTGTTGTATTTGGTTTTGAGTCTTTCGGTTCCATGTAGCTAGAGAACAGTAGACATGTCACATTTTTAAGCTACAGACATAGACTGATTTTGAGGTGTTTTTCCTACAAGTTAACTGATTCAAGTTTTCTGTAACTGTACACGTGCCATGTGGGACACCTGGCTAAATTGGCGCTTTCTGGCCGAACAAGAACATGAAAGCAAAGGTACGGTACAGAAAGCAAAGACTGTTCTTTTATACGTAATAACCATTAAAACTCATTGGGTTTTTTGTCCTTGTGGTTTCTCCTGTATTTCATTAAACAAAGTATTGTGAACTCAACCTGTGGCCCTTTGGATTGCTATCTCTCACCCAGAGACAGCGGCAGGAGTTTTTCAGTGCTCAAGTTGATTAAAACATACTTAAGGTTGAAAACATAGGCAAATAGATTTATAAAATGTTTTTTTTAATAAAATTTCCCCATCTGCCCAGCCTTATTGATATCACCTCCCTTGCTATTGAGCGCATATTTCTGCAATTCATTTCTACTAAGGTTTCAGTGCAGTGATTAGTGGTAACTGTAGGAAATAATACATTCTTGTCACACAAATTTAAGAAACTGCAAAACAATTCTTAGAATAAATGTTTATTTGCTTACCTGTGTGTCTGGGCTAAAGGTATCTAGAATTTCCTGTGTTGAATAATTCATCACAAAACCTCTCAGTGGGGCAGACCTGCCATATAAAGATTCTCCATTGACTGCATATATTAAACCACCTAAAACAACAAAAGTTGTCATTCAATTATGATGTGAAAGCATAACATTTATTACAGCTAAAAGTATGCAAAGGTGTAAAGATATAATAAAAGTAAACTGAATGTGATTCTTTTATCTATTCTGTTCCCTGAAATATAAAAACAATCAATCCTATCCATGGACTAAGGACATCAGTTTTCTATTTATATATTCATGCACATGCATGTAAATAGAAATGGCAACATTGTATAAAGGCACATGTATTTATGTTGAAAAAGCAAAGCAACTTAATGAAGAATTTTAATGCTACTTTTTTGCAAATGCATCTTTGTCTACATTACATTGGGATACAACAATTTGAAGGCGGTATCTTTAAAATGGCCAGAGGCAAGAATAAAATATTCATGAGTACTTTTTAGCTTACAAAGACAAGATATGAACTGGTATATACACACCGCGCTCAGCTGCATATGAGACAGCGAACACCTCTCCTCCAAACTCATTTTTCTTGATTTCTTTCACAAATTCTCCAGATTCTGCCACAAAACACTGGATTCGACCGTTCTCCCTGTCTGCTACACAGAGCTCCTGCCGGTCTGGTACAAAAGCCAGGCTATGAGGAATATTGAATGGGACTAGCTTCCGTCTGTCTGAGGAACCTAAATATAAAAAGATGAAACACGATTGCTTTCTAAAGTGAAAAAAACGAAAGAGTAGTAGAAATCTATAGCAGTATAAAACGTCTGTTTTATGAATGAAGTTTAGGGAATAGATGTATGTTAGAATATTTCACACAATCTGTAATGTGATAAGGCACATGAGAACTGCATCGCAAAAAGCTCTGTGAAAACACGTCATCGCAGGATTTGAAGTGCATATTGAATTTGTTTTTACCCCAGAGAAAGGATTAACTCTGCAGGGGATGTGTGAGATTAACGAACCTTCGGGTACCCCTGCTTTACAGAGCAATTCAGATGTAAAGAAGCAACTGAAAAGACTGATTAGCATAACCAGAAAAGGTCCATGACAACATAAAATTAAAAGTGAACATACTACCAACAATATTTACTTTTCTGTAAAGACATGGTTTAAAATATCCAAATATAAAAAAGGTATTACAAAAGGAATACCTTGCACTATTCCACTTGTGAGATCTATTGTGGCGTTTGAATTTAAATGCAGTTCGAAATTCCTAAATCAGGAAAGTGTTGACCATAAACTTGCTTCGTACCTGCTCCCCATTGCCTTAAGAATTTACCATCAGGTGAAAATGTAACAATTCTGGAATTGCAGTATCCATCAGAGACATAAACATTTCCAGTAACTGGGTCCACAGCTGCATCTGTGGGCTGGCAGAAGTGGTAATTGTCACTCCCAGGCCGAAATGCCTTTCCCAAGACCATTAGGGGATCACCATTTCCATCACTCCCCAGTTTAAATACCTACAATGAGATGAAATCGGTGTTATCTGTTTCTTTGAGCACAACCCCTTGTGATGAATATTTCCCCATACAACATTCATCTGGAAACAAATGTTTGATCGCCATATTTTGCAACAATGTTTTCTTTAATAAGTGAAAAAAAAACAGAATTTAATCGATCCTACTTTTCATTCATGGACACACACAAACTGGCCAAACTAAAAATAATTGTATGCAGAACAAAAATATAAAATTA